GTTTGAACCTGTTATCTGTTAGCCTGTGTAACATTTGCTGAACTATATCGTATTCTTAGACCACTTTGCTATTGGCACTCTGGTATGAGAGCAGGTAGTTAGGTGAACAATTGATCACTATAGAACTCCTCCTACAACAGGTGCCAGAATCCAGCTACGCTTCTTGCACTTTTTTAGCAAGGGTTACATGTATTTTTGCTTTCAGATTTAATTTTCTTTTCCATCTTTAAAGGTTGAAACAGTTGCATTCAATTTTTGGTTCAAAGCAAACTGAGTTTCTGGTAAGTGTTTCATGGTTGAGGAACTAATATGAATACTTTTTTCTCTACAGCAGATAAAGAAGTTGAGAAGCCAAAAGAACCCAGTAAAGAGCCAGCAGAACCCGAGCCAATGGAGATGGAAGAGGAAGAGCCTAAAGAGGAACCTCCAAAAGAGAAGAAAGAGGTCTGTGAGCAGGCTGTATAGACAGCGGCTTCAATCCATTCAAGGGAAGAGTTAGACATCTTTCTTTCCCCCCAGGCCAATCACGGAATGACTACATCAGCTCCAGCTGAGAACAGCTCACTCAGAACAAACTAGCATTGAAATTTGGATGTGCCCTGGTCTGAATGACTTGACTGCCAAATGAGTAATGCTTTGAAATTATTGGATTCCTCAACCAATTCTTTTTTAAACTGTGGCATAGAAGTGAAAGTAAATTACAGTAGATCGTGTGTTCATGATCATAGATTAGTAATCCAGAGATCTGGACTAATAATCCCAAGAAAGAGTTCAAATCCCACCATGTCAATTTGAGAATTTAAACTCAATTTATTTAAAAAATAATCCGAGAATAAACAAGTTACATGAAAAACAAAAAAGTGACTGTTAGATTATTATTTAAAAACCCAATTGGTTTCTTAATGCACTTTAAAGGAAGAAGAAACCTGTTGTCGTTGCCTGATCTAGTGTATGTGTGACTTCAATGCAATTGACTGTTAACTGCCCAAGGCCATTAGAATTACCTCCTGTTGATGCAAGAGAGAGCCTGCCACAACCCCACATATTGTGAATGATCTCTCTTTGAAAAGAAGACTTCAATATTGTTAATATTGAACATCCTTCTTTTATGTTTTTATTCCAGAATGCTTTGAGAATAAATACTACTTCAGTGTCATCGGCCCGTTCACTGCATTGGTGCCAATATGCTGTTGGATTTTTTTTTGAACTTGTGTCATGTAATACTGTACTCTTGCTTTGAGCACCTTGAATGGTTCCTACTCCTAATGTGTAGCATTTCACACTGCTAAAGATATTTGGTCAAATCCAGTATTTTGACAATAATATGGCTTTCACAGTCGGGTACTGTAGCAAGGGTGTCTCAGTTTGCAAATCTCAACCGTCCCAGTGTACTCAACAACTCCTACTTCTGCTTACATTTCTTACTTGCTGTCTTGCCCTTTTTGAATCTTCTGGGCCTGGAGATATGCAATAGATTATTTTTAGCACTGCTACCTTATTTGGAGAAGTTTGCCATCAGAACATCAAAGCTTGACAGTATCTCCAGGTTGTGAGAGATGAGCGTTCACGGGTGTATTCATTTCAACTTTTTCTTCTGGTCTATAAGGCTCTTTGATAGCACTTGTACTGCTTGCAAAGATAAATAGCTTGGAAATTCCTGTTGTGAAGCTTTAATCAGTAATCTTCTACAATACAACTATTTGCTTGCCTGTCATTTTTAGGAGCCAAAAGAGGAGGTGTTGACTGAAGAAGAGAAGGCAGCACAAAAAGCCAAACCTGTGGCCACCACTCCTGTCCCTGGCACGCCATGGTACGTATGCAGATGTGTTCACTAAGCTGGTGCTCCTTGGGTATTTGTTTTTGTATCTATGAAATTTAAAATAATCTTCAAAAGTAAATAAACTTTTAAGGTAATAAGTTGTGAGATCAATATTCCAGTTGTATTTCCTGTATGCTGCTTGATTATAGTTGTGTCACAACATGTGGCTGACAGAGGAGACTTTCAAACTTTTAATCTGGGCTGGATTTTTACTAGGTTCCTGAGGTAGAAGGATAGTCTTTTGCATTCAGTTTCGCATTAAAGATCCATAGATTGTAGGTTTTCATTTTAGGTGAAAGCTGAGTGCAGGATATTTTTGCATTTATGAAAAAATCTATAATTGTCCAATGTAAATCCATAATTTCTGTTCTACTTTTTCTTCCCTTCATGTTTGAAAATCAGCCTTTATTTTGGTGTTTATTGACTTATTTATCTTTGCCATTTCTGAATTGAGTGGGTGGACAGGCAGGCAGCCTTACTTAAGTTGAGGCAATGTCTTATTTTAAATCAGGCTGATAAAGGTGCTTGAGAGTTGCAACAGACTCAGTTCAGTTTCTCCCTCGTGTTGAGTTTGGGTATTTGCTTTGGCGGAGGGAGTCCTCAGCGTTACAGCAGAAGAACAAGAATGCAGGCAATACACAACTTTATTTGCCTGACCATTTTATTTTAGTTTTGATCAAACTGAATTGATTTGGTGTAAAGAAGATTTTTTTTAATGAGCCAGGACTTGTCTATCTAGATATTTGTTCACTGTTTGTCTCGGGCCTTAAGTTTTACGCTTTTAAATTATGGTTGGTCCCGAGCTAACACCATGTAATTTCTAACGCGCTTTGCTAGCGACCATGAAACACTCAGTGCACTAAAACTGCACTCATCATCCACTCTCAAAATGCTGAAGAAAAGCAGCAGGGAGCATTGAATCAGTGACTTGTAAGAAAGCCTGACATTTGCTTTCCTATAATAAATGTCATCAGTTCACTGGTGCCAAATTAAATGGCACTGTTGAGATGCTGTGTCCTATTGAAACAATTTTTTCAAACAATTTTTTTTTCCAGTTGAAGGCATCAGAAGTATCTGTCAAGAGGTATTGTTATTTTTTGTCCCCTTTGCTTTTGATCACCCATAACTTGAAATCCAAATACTGTAGTACTGTCTTTCAAATTTGGACTGACTTTTGAAACAGAAACAGAAATTGCTGCAGAAACTCAACTGGGAGAACTTCAAAAGAAGGGTCACTGGACCCGAAACATTAATTCTGCTTTCTCCCCACAGATGCTGCCAGACTTGATAAATTTTTCCAGCAATTTCAGTTTTTGTGCCTGATTCCAGCATCTGCAGTTCTTCTTCATTTTCTTTGGGACACACTTTCCTTGTATTTCACATGATGTGCTGTTCGTTCTTTACAGACTAATGGATAAGTTTTTTTAAAGCTTAATCAGGTTAGATTTGTTCTGGGTAGTGAACCCTCACTCCCATGGCCTGGTGGATTGTTCTTTTGTTAGTAGAAGATAAGAGTGGCCGGCAACAGCCCATGATAGAGCAGCAAAAGCAAAACCTTGACCACTGAGCAAGTCAGCACTAGGAAAGAATATAAACATACAGGTATGCTGCCAGTAGATGGTGCTTGGACACTTTGTTTACAAAATGTGACAGATAACTTGGCTTAAAATAATTGCACTCCTCATTTGGATTGTACTTTCAGCAATCCTTGACTCTTCTTCCCATCTCACAACCCATCTTCTGGAGTGGTTATGCTACGTTCAGTCTTGTTGGTATTTTATCTTGTCTCTTACCGCTTTTCAACCTTTGTATGCCCCTTTTGTCTGTGTTATTGATGTTATGATAGTTAGGAATTTTCTCCACTGTTCATCATTTAAATTGAGGTTTTCTTCATTTCAGATGTGTCTTCCACTCCCAACTACTTGTTACCACATACTTAATACTTCTGAATGTCTTTGAATTCTCACTCTTTCCTCCATCCTACACCCTTCTTTCAAAATCTATACTTGCTGTTGCCTGCTCACCTTTTCGGGAATTGCTTCATCTTTTCTATACTTATCAATTTTTGATATCTTGTACAATAGATGTTGGTTCTTAATCTAGGTTTGTCACTTTTGAAAAACTATCTCATTTTCTGTAAAGAGACAGGCTCGAGTCATGATTGCTGTTTAGTAAGGAAGCATTTGGTCATAGGTGTTTCATTGGCATTGCAGGTGTGTTGTGTGGACTGGTGATGAGCGGGTATTTTATTATAACCCAACAACCCGCTTGTCAATGTGGGATCGGCCAGATGAGTTGGTTGGAAGAGCGGATGTGGACAAAATTATCCAGGAGCCGCCTCATAAAAAGTCTGAGAATGAGAAAAAACCCGGTAAGCAATTCTGATCAATGTCTTGATTCCTTACTGTAACATTGCCTCTGATATAGTATATCTGATGCTTGAACTGGCAGTTTGAATTATTCTCCATTGTCAGAATGTGCTTACGTACATCACTGAGAGAACATAGCTTCTCTGTGAGTTCTTTACTTAATGATGTAGTTTTTTGAGTTCATGGGATGTGATTGTTGCTGGCTAGATCAGGGAGATTGTTCAGGGAGTAGTTGTGGGTCTGGAGTTGCATATAGGCCAGACCAGGTAAGGAAAATAGATTTTTCTTCCTTAAAGGATATTAGTGAACCAGATGGGTTTTTTACAACAATTGACAGTGGTTACATGAATGCCATTAGGCTAGCTTTTAATTCCTTGTTTCATTGATTTAAAATTTCACCATCTGCCCATGATGGGATTCAAGCTCATCTTTGGTCATTGCTTTTTGTGTTAATTGATTGTGGTTGACCATTCTACAGAATGCGGGACCTAGGTAGCCCAGAGTTTTAATTTTAATTGATCAGTGGACATAATACTTAAAGTAGTTGTTTTTACAACAGTAGAAAGTTGCGGTTTTACTGACATTCTCATTTGCGATTTGTTTCCTTCTGTTGACATGTAGACTGATGTGAAGGTACAAATTCATGTTAATTTAAATTAAAACATAAGTTTCACTCAGCAATGGCTCTTAGTAAAAGTGTGAGTTTACTTAGAGTTCAGCATGAATTATTTTATCGAAGAACTAAACTGTTTAACAAAAATTAATCTTTTTATTTAATTTTGAATAAACCAAACTCTGCCAGTGGGGCCAAGAAATTTTGTTTTCAAATTTAAAATATTTTTCCTTTTATCTAGTTAAAGAGGAGACTGAACCCCTAGAAGATGAATATGATGATGAACCAATTAAAGCAAAGAAGCGAAAGTGAGTATGTAAAGCCTGATAAATCTGCCCTGTGCAGGAAGCCTTCAAAATGCAGTCTGCATTGTTTCTTTTTCTTTCATCTGGTTGAATGCAATGCGTTAAAAGCAGTGTGTTGCTATACGTATGTATGTAATGTTAAGCAGTCCAACTCCAATCTTTTTCCTTTCCTTCTCAAAAGCACTAACTCCAGCTTAGGTACAGTTCCTTGTGTGCCAGCTGCCTATCGGTGTCGCACCCATGTGGATATTCTTGAAGTGGGCGTAGTTGGTAACTTGCAGCAGCTTTCTGTGGCCCCATGCAATCCTCTATTTCATTAACAGGCTTGTCCCTCAGCGTTCCTATTTTAGCTGAAATGAAGGAAATGGCGTGTGCAGGAGGGAGGATGAGGATTGAGAACAAGTGGAAGGGAAGAGTGCAGTGGATAGATGGGGACAGGGAGAGACAGAGACAAAAGCACGTCCATGCACAAATTGGATGGATAGTCATAGAGAAGTATTAGTATGTAAATGGTGGTGATAGACAGACAGGTTTATTGATGAGTTGAAGGGAAGACTGGAGACACGCGCACACGTTTGTGTGCAGGAAGGACAGAGAAATGCTCATGGATACTCAGAGAGAGAGAGAGACGCTTGGACGTAGCTGGGAGGTATCAATAGAGAGAGATGGACACATTAAGTGCAAGCAAGAGAGAGGGATGGACTTTGCTCCTCCTTCCTCCTCTTCTTCCCTCTTATCCTCCCCCACCCTCCACCCCCATATGAAGCAGACTAGAAGATGCATAAAATGTGAGCTGAAAAGCCACTTTCATATAAACTTCATTGAGGCCAACTCAACGTATATCACCTGAGGTGTTGTTTGGCACTTTGCACTTGTCACTTTTATGAGTCATGCATTTATTTAAATTTATCGTTTACTAAAATAATTTATTATTTCAGGTTTGTTTTGCAATTCATGTGCAGTGTTGTGCCAAACCTGTATCTCTTAAGTTTGTGCACCAGTGAGTGAGAGAAAAATTGAAATGTGTCCCCCTGTCCTCCCCCATGCAAAATGATTGGTTAGTCCGGTTTTGTCAGAAATGAACTGGATGTACTCCTCCATGTCACACACCATCCAGAATTAGAAATATATCACCATTCCTTCCTTGGAACTGATCCAAAGTCCTGCAGCTTCTTTCCTAACAGCCATCTGGGTCTACCTACACATAAAGAACTATGGTAATTCCAAGAAGGCTGTTCACAACCACCACCTCAAGGCAATTTGAGATGAACAACAAATGTAGACCTCACCAGCAAAGTCCATGTCCTATGAAAAATACAAAATAAAACTGCAAATGGGATCAGATTTTTTTTTTCAGTTGTGAAGTTGTAATTTTTTTGTGTTGAAAAATATTGCAGGAAGGATGATCTCAAAGATCCAGAATCTGAGAAAGAGGCAGCTATGGAAGCTGAGATCAAAGCAGCCCGGGAGAGGGCCATTGTCCCGCTGGATTCTCGCATGAAACAGTTCCGAGATATGCTACTTGAGAGAGGGGTAAGAATGATGTAGATTTTTTTGTACAAGATCTGGAAAATAAGGCCTGGATCACCTATAGTAACCACCGTTCCCCTTTAATTTTTTTAAAATTTAACCTGTTTTTCTAATAAACCTGGTCAGAGATGTTATTGCACACCTCTGGAACAGCTGGGACTTGAACCCAGGCCCAGGAGTAGGGACTTCATCTCTGTTCCACAAGAGGGCCCCAATATTCCCGTTATTACTGTGGTCATTGAGTAGATTCTTATCCATAACCAATTGATAGACATTCCTACTCACTTAGTAGTGAAATCCAGACAGTTCTTGTTCCCTTACAGTATTTGAGTTGAGCACGAACCAGTTGGTGAAATCTTGTGGAAACCTCATTTCCTATTGTAAAGATGTCATGAAAGGTCAGATTAATTCAAGTAATTTTGAAATATTTTCAATTTGTTATATTTGTTGTTATCTGTACCTCATTTTTGCTTGTCAAATTGAGACACCAAGGGAGTGCTTAAGAGGTATAGTGTTTGCACTGATTGTACTGAGGGAGTCTGGCATGGAAGAAAGTAGAACCATCCCATTTCAGACAGATCGCGTGTCAGCATTAATTGAATTTGTATATATGAACCAAGGCAAGGAACTCTTCCCTTTCTTCTTGCCTCTTCCATCAACCATATTTTGCGGTGTCTTGAGCAAGATTGCTGGTTATAGTTTTTGTCGGCTTGGGCCTACCATAATTGGTCAGAGACTAGGAGAATTTATTTTGGTTTGAGACCCCTCAGCACTAAGCAAAAGACAATTTAATCTCATTATTGGATTCTGTCTCATGTGCTGGTCCACATCATGGAACAGTTGCCTGCATCTGTTGAACCTTGTTTTAAACCCCACTGTTCAAGTACATATCTTGGCTCTTTGAATCTTTCCAACACAATAGTTAAGGATGACTCAGTATCTCATTTCATTCAAACAGTTTGGAAATTATCTCTATCTGGGCTTGAACGCTAATTTACAACTTGTCAACCAAAGTAAGTTTCAAGTCTTTATGATTTACTTTGTCCCTTCTGCAAATAAGTGACATTCCTTTCAACTCTTCAGTTAGTAACTGTTCTGACTTGACTATAGATTAATCATATTTGATTTGGTTTTGTTACAAGGCATTTCTTAGCAACTTCCCAGCATTCTTAGCCAAGGTTACATGTCAGTTGCATTTGGATCAGGACGTTATCCTTATTTGCGCTGTAATGCAAATTAGAACAAGAATTTGCTGTTTCCTCCATTCAGATGCTGTAAAACTCTGAAGTATTGTGGGACTCATAAAGTAATTTGCAGTCATTTGGATCTTCAAGGTACGTGAGTGACAGCGGTCCTAGCCAAGTGAATGAATAGATATGACCTAAATCCTTCAGGGATTGTGATGGATTTTGTAAGAAGTGAACTGTTCCATAGCTGCTGTGGTGCACATTAATTAGGTCCAATTTGTTTGCACATCCAAGAGGGAAGAGTCCTCCCATTTTTGATAAAACATTTCACAGAAGCTTATGGTAGTTTGGTCTGATTTTGTGATTCTCTCGGTTTAGCTCAAATCAGTGTGTCCCATTCTGCTTGTGTAATACTTGATTATTTTTCCCAATTTGCACAAAATTCATGAGTCCACATCTTGATTCCTCTGTGAAGCACCTTGAGATATTTTTGTATTTAAGATTAAAGACTGTGTATAAATACAAATTTTTAACATTGCTGTGCTTCCCTTTTTTGTTGCACAATGTGATGTAAAGTGATTACCTTACCTTCAAAAATTGCGCCCTCACCACATTCCGATCCATTGAATCCCACAGATCCTGCAGGCCTAATAGCTTTGGAGAAGTTAGTGTTGCATGAATAACTTTAGCTTAGCTTCATGCCAAAAATATGGGTAATGTGGCGCAAGTCTTGAAACTATATACAAGTGAAACTGGAAGACTGTATGTTTCACCATCTCATTGATATGTCATGACACTTTTATGACTCGGTGCGTAGTTTCCTTAGTCAGGTAAACTGTTGTCCTTCACAGTGGACGGTGTTGTCATTTGAATAAAAATGACCATCTTACCAGGTGGATAATTTATATTTTTACACCAATCTTTCTTTCTCTCTCTCTGTCTTTCTGCCTCAATTACATAAATTTGTGCTAAGGCCACATTCGAAACATAAAGCCAAGTTATTGAGATGTGAGCTGACACAGTTAGTGTCGATAGGCTATTTAAGGCATCATAGTTGGGCTGAACCAGCCCCAACCTAGCACTTGGGCTTGAAAATGGGAACCATGATGAGGAGAGGACTCCTGACAGCTGTTTTTCATTCCCAAACCTAGCTGAAATCAATCTTCACTCTCCAAATATTAGCTCAATTCAAATAAACACCAAAGGAAAAACATAAGATCAGGAGTAAGCCATTCAACCTGTTACGACTGCCCTGCCATTCTAGATTGTGGCTGATCATCTATCTCGATGCCATATTCCTGTGCACCCCCATATACCTTTATGTCGTTAGTAAATAGAAATCTATCAATCTCTCTCTTGAACTTTGTGCCTGAATTTCTACAGCACTGTGTAGTAGAGTATTCCAAAAATTCCACACTGCCTGAATGAGGTGCCTCTTTATCTCAGTCCTTAATGAACAACCTTTTATTCTGTGACCATGTGCCTGTGAACCTGGGGTTTAGTGCAGTAGTCTGCAACCTGTGGTTTGAAGACCTCATGCAGTCCTGAACCCTTGCATGACAGCTTTTGAAACTCAGGCAGTTATGGTTTTATTTTGGCATATTGTTTAAATGCTGTTACCTCCTGCAGATGCATCTTGAGTTACAACTTCAAATGCATTAAACTTTGCGTATAACCCCAGATATTGTGTGCTTATGAGACCCTCGTTGACTAATTCTTGGACTCTTATTGGACGCCAGGCCGTCAGGGAGGGGAGAAAGAGGTACAAACCTACTTTTGAGCTTTACGAGTATGATGTGCTGATTTAGATGCAATAAAGAAGCACTACTTGTTTTTTAAAAAAATGTTTTTAATGGTTGACAATAACCTAATGTAAGGTACATTGACCTTTCCATTGTTTCCAGAGTTATACATTTCATGGCATGCCCTTGTATGTTATCTATTAACTCTTTTCTCTCATCATCTTTCCCAACATCTTGCACTTCCTAGGATTCATTGTATGACATGATCTTCAGGTACTTCCTTGCCCAACGGATCTCACTTAATTTATGCACCATGGCATAAAGAGAGCTTACAGAACTTGAAATCAAAAGATTAAACTTCAAGGCTTTGCTTCCATGGGAGCTCCTGCTGTGGTCATTTAAAATGTCACCCGGTGGTGGATCTTTTAATGAGAAACTAGTTGACTGATAGCATAATTGTTCAATGGAATTCAAGGCCAATTAGTAGCGAAATTGTCAGCATCCCACTGTTGCTTGTCTTTTCTGGTAGAGATGGAAGCTGTAGTCATTTAAGGTGAAATTTTGGGTATGGTTGAATTAGATTTTATTATTCTCTGGAATCTGTCCAATCTTCGTTTCCTATTCTTTCCTGAAGATTTTGGCTACTCATCAAGGTACAGTCTCGTAGGCATCAGCTACCTTCTGACATGTCATTGAGCCTGAACTGTGGCAGGCTATTTCACTATAGAGAGCATCACTGGGAATCCACTTCTACTTCAGCATACCTTTCAGTAGATGTCACACAGCAGAATCATAGAACCTCTGCAGTGTGGAAGCAGGCCATTCAGCCCATCAGGTCCATGCCAGCCCTTTGAAGGACATCCCACACAGACCCACCCCCCTTATGTATAACCCTGCATTTACAGTGGGTAATCCACTTAGCCCGCACATCGCTGGACACTATGGGCAATTTAGCATGGCCAATCCACCTAACCTGTGCATCCGAAGGAAACCCACACAGATACAGGGAGAATGTGCAGACTCCACACACAGTCACCCAAGGATGGGATCAAATGCAGGTGCTTGGCACTGTGAGGCAGCAGTGCTAACCAGTGAGCCATTGTGCTGACATTGCTTTTATTTTTCACCTTAAATTTTGGTTTTGTTGTCATTCTCACTAAAATCAACTGCAGCCAGAATTAAAACAATATTTCTGATCACCCTGTTCAGAGGTGTTGTTATTACACATATCTGGAGCAGGTGGGACTTGAACCTGGGCCTGTTGGCCCAGGGATAGGGACACTACCACTGCACCACAAGAGGGCCCCAAGACCAGGTTTAATTTTTTATAAGTTAACCTAGTTTTTAAATCAACCTGTTCAGAGTTGTTATTACACGCCTCTGGAGCAGTTGGAATTGAACCTGGGTCTCTTGGTCCAAGGGTAGGGACGCTACCACTGCATTACAAGAGGGCCCTCAGGACCAGAATTAAACAATTTTGCTTAACAACTTGTTCAGAAATGTTATGATGCGCCTCTGGAGAAGGTGGAATTTGAAACTGTATCTCTTGGTTCAGGAATTGGGGCACTACCTTTATACCACAAGAGGGCCCTAAAAGCATCTGTGGCTACGACACCACGTGGCCTCAAATCACCAACCTTCGAGTTAACAGCATAACGTGCTGACCAACTGTGCTACACAGGACAATAAAGAAGACGGCGCAACATCTGAAAGAGAATTCAAATCAAAGCTGACAGCAGTGGGTTTCAAATCTACATCTCTGGAGAGACTGATATTTGAGTCCAGCACATTAACTCAGTCGACCTTGCTACAGCAAGACCACAATTAAACTTGGAATGATTGGTTTCACGGAGACTCGTCACGTTATAAATGTAGGCAATTGGAGGAGTTTGGTTTAGTTAGTTTTCTTTAATGTGTTAGCAGATTTTTTTCTTTTGGGCTGGTAGAAGTGCAAAGGGGCCAAAATTGGAATTCTCATTTCTGTTCTCTGTGTAACAGTTTCCTTTCTGCACATCTCCAGTGCCTTTTGGATAAATTCATCTCAGTTGCTTTTTGTTTATTTCCCTGTTCATTCATTTAGGTCTCAGCATTCTCTACATGGGAGAAGGAACTCCACAAGATTGTTTTTGATCCGAGATACCTCCTCCTGAATCCGAAGGAAAGAAAGCAGGTAACAGTAAGACAATCAACTGCACTGGGAGAGATGAGGGAATTACAGTGAGTTCCCACTTGAAGTCGCGGCTGTGTTCCTGAACGTTGCAACTTGAAGTGAAACGTGTGTTTCCATGGGAATAAATGTTAGAACTGGAGTTACATTCTGCATAGCCTTTCTTATCAGAAAAAAATTATTAGAACATCGTATCAAATGTTAGTTGAGATTCTTTAGATTGCTGAATTCTTACAACAGTAAATAAGAACTTGTAAAATACAAAATCTTTCTACATAAAGTACCTACTCACTGATCCTCCTAATAACTGCAGATTCTTACCTTCCATGATCTGACTTGTGACCTGTACCCTTCACTGACCCTCTGACTTTCAGCCTCTTCCCTTTGCTGACCATCTAACCTGTAGCTTTTTCCCTTCACTGAGCCTCTGATTTGCAGTCTATAGTCCTCCCTGACCCACAGCTGGAGGGACTGTTACTCAAAGTCTGCACCAGGTACTCCTTTCTCATTAAGCTCCAGATTGCCAGCTTGATCCATCGCTTGTTGTGCCACATTGTAGTCACTGCCTGATGGTATCTTTTTGAGAGCCCATGGCCCTGCTCTTGCTGGCCAACGCTGCCTCCTGAGTCTGCTTGGACATGATGGAGCTGCTCCCCGTGGCTGACTGCAGGTTCTTGGCCTTCTTCTCCCTCTCCCTGGCTGGCAGGGTATCGATCGTGACTGGGCTCTGTAGCGGAGTCATGGAAACCATGTTAAAATGAATCTCTCAACCCTGGGAATTAAACACCCCATTAATTTATTGATGTTAAAGTGAAACAGTGCTAAGCAGGACAATGATTTGCTGTATCTGTGTGAAACTCCTGTCACTTAAAAAGATGAGGTCAAAACATATCCAGCAACATCTGGATAATTTTTGTAAGCATATTATTCAAATCCTCCTCCTCCTCCTGTTTCTTTAAAGGGTCAGTCTTAGTGTGGTTCAGTTCCATAAGTACTGGCCACTCACTAACAGCTGACAACAAGGAAGCTTGCCCTGTTATATTGTGATGTCCCTGTATATCTGTTAGGAGTGGATGCCAGAGGCACCAAGCAATGTATCCTGTGTTTTTGGTGGAATAGCTGGTGTTTTAAAAGTGTGGCCCCTTTAATTTATTTTACGCAGCAACTTAAAGGAGCCTTGAGTTTCTCTAGTACTTGTTTTTAATCCCAAACTATTCAACCTATCCACATAAAATCCCTCCATACCTGGAATCAACCGTGTGAACCTTCTCTGGATTGCTTCCATTAAAGTACATCTTAGCTTGGATAAAGGGACCAGAGATATTCGCATTATTCCAGGTGTGGTCTGACTCGTGCTTGTATAGTTTTAGCTAGATATCCTTTTTAGACTCCAATTTCTTTGAAATAAAGACACACGGTCCATTTGCCCACCTGCTGAACTTGGATGGTAGCTTTTTGTGATTCATGCACAAGGACCGATAATTCCCACTCCTTTGCAACTTTCTGCAGTTTCTCTTCATTTGAATAATAGTCAGCTCCTGTATTCGTCCTGCCAAAGTGTATAATCTGTCATTTTTGCACATCATGTTCCATCTACTGAGTTTTTGTCTACTCACTTAATCTGTCTATCTTCCTCTGTAGATTTTTTGTGTCCTCCCCATTACTTGCTTCCCACCTATTTTGTGTCATCTGCTATGGTGCATTCACTTCTGATTCAAAATCACATCCAATTCAGTTCTGATCTTGGTTCTGATTGTTACCATATATTGGCATTCGCAAGTTCAGTCTTGAAGTCTGATCGAGCTGCAGTAAAACGTATGCAAATATAAATGCATATTTATTAAAATTGGCTTTGAAAAACACACTCCATGGTCCTTCCTGTTCTCGCTTCCTATCTGTCCCAAGTACTGCATGCCAGTCTGCAGCTGACATGAATATCTGTGTTCATGGGTTAATACCTTAAATGGGAAATAATACTTTAAATATTCACTCAGGTCATCCAATGGCATGCAGTCTGTTGCCAATTCCAAATTGCAATGCATGAGCTGCAATGTATCATCAGTAATCAGTTGTGTGGATACGTTGCATGTGACATCCACAGAATATTAGGAAAATGGATAATGGATGGCATCATGCTAAGACTGGTAAAAACGGGATAGATTGCAGTGTGATGGTGCAATTAATGATGCAGATTGGTTCCAGTACTGTACATTGCCCTGAGGACATTTGGAAAGTTTGTTCAGGTTTGGTTCATGGTGACTTAGATTTCATTAACACAATGCAACATCCTAAATATCTTCAGGTTACAGTGAGCATTATGAGCACATATTCCTTTTGATTAGGACAGTTGTTTAATAAATCTAGATCTGCAATGTGGAATTGAACTGTGTAGCTATTTATGCTTCAATCATAGGATCCCTGCAGTGTGGAAACAGGCCCTTTGGCACAACAAGCCCACGCCGACCATCAGAGAATCCCACCCAGACCCGTCCCCCTATAACCCACCTAATTTACGCATCCCTGAACACTATGGGCAATTTAGCATGGCCAATCCACCTAACCTGCCCATGTTTGGACTGTGGGAGGAAACCCACACAGACATGGGGAGAATGTGCAAACTCCATACAGACAGTTGCCCGAGGGTGGAATCGAACCTGGGTCCCTGGTGCTGTGAGACAGCAGTGCTAACCACTGTGCCACCCGAATTTAAGAATATTCTTGAACAAGTGGGATCTGAGACCTGGGTTTCAATTTCTGACCTGATGTTAGTTTGCTGCTCTGCTGACAAATGAATTCTGCTGCTTCAAGTCATAAATCATTGAAATGTACAACATGGGAGGAGGCCATTCGGCCCATCATGTCCAGCCTAACCCCACTTACCAGCTCTTAGTCCATAGTTTTGTAAGTTACTGCATTTCAAGTATTTTGAGGATTTTTTTTGCCTATATTACCCCTTCAGGCTAAGAGTTCCTGATCGTCCTCTAGATGAAAACATTTCCCCCTCAAAACCTCTTAGTCTTCCCTAAAACTATACCCCCTCATTACAGGTCTCTGAATCAAAGGGAATGCGGTCTTTGTATTTACTCTATATAGCTCCGTTACGTTTTTATACACCTCAACCAGGTCTCCCCTTGATCTCTCTTTTCCAAGCAACCTAGCCTCTCCACTCATTCCTCATGGCTAAAATTCTCTAGTTCAAGCAACATCCTTGTAAGCCCCTCTGTATTCTCTCCAGTCTCATTTTTCTTATAGTGTGGTGACCAGAACAATACTATTCTTCAGTACTCCAGTCTGTAGCTTAACCATTGGTGTGTACAGCCTTAATTTGAATTTCCAGCTCTTGCGTTTGTTCCTCATCTGTCAAAATTAAGACCTGACATTACTTTACAAAATTAGCAGTATTTGTGGAAAGGTGATTTTTTTTTTTGGAGTCCCTACGTCTTTTATGCTGTGCTCTGTAAATGACCTTGTAAAACTTCACTTGGTGTACAAGTTTGATTTGTTCTGAAGGTACTGGCTCCCAACCTCTTCCATATCAACTGGAAGGAAATACGTATCCAGCCTAGCCTTAGTTCTGAGTTCTTGGAAGTCTAGGTAATGTCATCAGTTTTGTCTGTGAATAGAAACTCAGCATTCTTTAACGTTTTAATTTTGTGTTGACCTATGATCTGACAGGTTTTTGACCAGTATGTTAAAACTAGAGCTGAAGAAGAACGTAAAGAGAAGAAAAACAAACTGCAACAATCAAAAGAAGACTTCAAAAAGTTACTAGAAGATGCAAAGTTAACTCCCAGGTAGGTGCTGCTGAATTCTATTTCTTGCAAAGTCTAAGTACCAATGCGTCCTTGGCATCTTTAAAGCTTGAGTTGCAGCATAAAATTAGTTTTCAGTCATAATTTATCTGATCACTCCTGTCGACTCTGAAGGACTCTTGGGGGGGATATGCCTACTGTGAGGATTTGTGATTTACAATTTCATTGCTATATCATTATTATTAACCAAACTTTTCCCACAATTCTGCGTACCAAACTGATACCTCTTGTCATTCAGATGTTTGCTTAATTAGGCAAACCTCTTTCCTCCTTCAGATGGACTCTTGCTGTTGGCTCAAAAGATGTTGAATTTGATGCATATTGAAGGCCAGCTAGCTCATGTCTTTCTCCTCAATGCACGTTTGATGGAATCTGGCATTGGGAAATAATGAGCTAAATTATTCAGTTCATGGTGATTTTGGGTCCCAGTTTTACAGTGACCAAAAGAAGTGTAACTGCCAGTGGATGCACATACTAAGGGCTGGATACCATTGTTGACTCACTTTCTATGGTTAGGTAGCTGAAATAGCTCCCATATTTATAAATAGTTTGACAGTTTTTGAATTAGATACTTCCTTTAACATGCAAGCAACTCTGTCAGTGATGCCAGCAGAGTAGCTTTCAGGGAAAGATGCAACAAAATGGCCATCAGATGAGGAATTGTACGTTTCTATAACTCCACTAACAGTAGGCTCATGATATTGTCACAGATAAATGAAAGAGTACTTTGAAGAAAAAGATTCTTACATTAAAATTTCCTTTTCCCTTGAACTTCTAAGTTTATACTGAAGTGTTCAGCCGCATCATAAGCAAAAAAATTAAGTTGTGTTAGTGGGGTCCAACCTTAATTTACAAACTTTCTGATATTCTTTTATGTCCTTCAACCTTTTGCTAAGTGATCATAACCTTCCATGGAGAATATATTAAACTTTCTTCATACTGCAAGGGCATTCTATACAATAGATTAATTGTTTTGAATTCTGATAGTCCCGTATTAATGACCTTTTTGTGAATAAAATGGAACATAATTAGAATTTAAGACTAAGTTGGATTAAACTTCATTCAGAATGGATTGATGCTTCTAAAAGGATTGACATAATATTATCTCATGATTGGTGATTTTTTTTGGCAATATGTTGTTGCCTGTGTGTGATGTGGGATGGAGAACTGAGATGAATGTTGAAAGAGCTGGTGTGATGTCTTGGTGGTGTAGTGGGAAGAGGTCATTAAGCCCTCCTTTCCTATATACCAGCTAATACTCAATCCTGTAAACTTGAGGAGGAGAGGAGGGAAGACAGTGGCCTATTGGTATTACCGCTAGACTATTAATTCAGAAACTCAACTAATGTATTGGCAACCCAGGTTCAAATCCCTTCATGGCAGATGGTGAAATTTGAATTCAGTAAAGAATGTGGAATTAAGAATCCACTGATGACCGTGAAGCCATTGACAATTGACAGAAAAACCCATCTAGTTCACTAATGTCATTTAGGGTAAGAAATCTGTCATCCTTACCTGGTCTGGTCTACATGTGATTCCAGACTGCCTCAGCATTTTGGAAACAGTGGCCACAGCTCCTTAAGTTTTAAGATAGATATGAACGAGGCTAACTCAAGACCAAGTCCTAAATTGGGGGAGGGCAGATTACATCAGCATTAGGCAGGAGCTCGGGAGTGTTAATTGGGAGGAGCTGTTATCAGGCAAGTCCACATTTGACGTGTGGGAACTGTTTAAAGACCTGCTGGGGAGAGTTCAAGATCGCCATCTTCCAGTAAGAAGGAAGGACAAGGATGGCAAAGTTAAGGGTCCCTTGGGTAACGAGTTTGTGAAGGTAGTCAAAAGGGAAAAGATTTAGGAAGCTAAAATCTGACGGCCTCTGAGGAGTATAAGGAAAGCAGGAAAGTACTCAAGCAGGGAATTAGGAAAGCAAGAAGGATCCATGAAATGACCTTGGCAAGTAGGGTTAAAGAGAATCCCAAGGCATTCTGTAGATAAATTAAAAACAAGAGGATAACCAGGGAGAAGGTAGGACCACTCCAGGATAAAGGAGGGAACATGTGCTTGGAGGCAGAGAATGTGGGTGAGATCCTAGGTGAGTATTTTGCGTCGGTATTCACCCAGGAAAAGGACATGGAGGATAGTGAGATTTGTGTGGAGCATGCTAATATGTTAGGGTATTTTGAAATCAAGAAAGAAGTGTTGTTGGATCTCAAGAAGAGCATTAAGGTGGATAAGTCCCCAGGCCCCAATGGTGTCTACCCCAGGTTCTTGAGAAGGGCAGGAAAGGACATTGACCAAGATTTTTGTATCCTCGCTAGCCGCTGAAAAGGCCTCGGAGGATTGGCGAGTAGCTAATGTTGTTCCTCTGTTTCAGAAGGGAAACAGGGATAATCCAGGGAACTACAGACCGGTGAGTCTCATTGGATGGGAAGCTATTGGTGAGAATTCTGAGGGATCGGATTTACGCTTTTTCAAAAAGCATGGCTTAATTAGGGACAGTCAGCATGGCTTTGTGCAGGGCAGGTCATGTTTTACTAACATGATTGAACTTTTCGAAGAAGTGATAAAGTTGATCAATGAGGGTAGAACAGTGGATGTTGTTTACGTAGATTTTAGTAAGGCTTTTGACAAGGTCCCTCATGGTAGGCTCACCCAGAAGACTAAGATGCATGGAATCTACGATGACTTGGCTGCATGGATTCAGAATTGGCTTGCCCATAGAAGGCAGAGCGTAGTGGTGGAAGAGTGTATTTTAGGCTGGAGGTCCATGACTTGCGGCGTTCTACAGGAATCCGTACTGGGATCTCTGCTGTTTGTTATACATAAATGACTTGAATGAAAACGTACATGGTTGGGTTAGTAAATTTGTAGACGATACAAAGGTCGGTAGAGTTGTGGATAGTGTAGAAAGTTGTCAAAGGATACAGCAGGATATAGATCAGTTGGAGGTATGGGTTGAGAGATGGCAAATAGAGTCTAATGCTGCATTTTGGGAGATCAAGTGTTCAGGTAAAGTATAGTTAATGGCAGGACTCTGAACAGCATTGATGTAAAGAAGGATCTTGGGGTTCACGTCCAGAGCTCCCTGAAAGTGGCCACGCAAGTAGGTAGGGCGGTAAAGAAGGCGTATGGCATGCTTGCCTTTATTGGTCAGGGAATTGAGTACAAGTGTCAGGATGTCATGTTGCTGCTTTATAAGACTTTGGTTAGTCCACACTTAGGGTATTGCGTTCAATTCTCGTCACCACAATACAGGAAGGATGTGGGGGCTTTGGAGATGATGCAGAAGAGATTTGCCAGGATGCTGCCTGGATTAGAGGGTATGAGCTGTAAGGAGACGGGCTAGAAAAACTCAGGTTTTCACTTGAGCAGCGGAGGCTGAGGGAAGAGTTGAAAGAAGTCTGTAAAATTTTGAAATGTCTAATACTAAGATTAGAGGGCAAAAGTTCAAAGGAGACATGAGGGGCAAGTTTTTTTTACACAATGGCAGGAGCCTGGAATGCACTGCCAGGGGTGGTGGTGGAGGCAGATACAATAAAGGCATTCAAGAGACTTTTGGGTAGGCACATGAATATGCAAGGAATGGAGGGAGGGGACCGAGGGTAGGCAGAAGGGGCTAGTTTCATTTGGCGTCATGTTCAGCAAAACCTCATTGGCCGAAGGGCCCCTTCCTATGCTGTACAGTTCTATGTCGTATTGACTCTTAATGGGCAATTAGGGATTGGCAATAAATGCTGGCTTGGTCAGTGATGCCCACATCCCATGAATGAATTTAAAAATAAAACTAGAAGATCTCAGGTTCTATTTCCTACTTTGTCCTGAGTCAGACAGTTCTATCTGAGAAACCATTTGTGTTAACTGCATTCAGCCTCCGTCCCCTCCAGTGCCAGTGCACGAGAGAATTGAGCAGGTCTTGATTTTTGATCTTGATCGCGCTGTGTTTAGTTAACTCTGCAACAAATGAGTTTGTATGAGTGGGGTACAAATCCATAATCAGTCAGCTCAATGCTTCACTATCAACTCTTTCCGTCACAATTTCTGTTCCAAGAATGGCACCTGAAGATAGGTGGCAACTATGGTGCAGTAACCTGACCAAGAGTTCGTACCATGAAAGGGCCAGGTTCTACTCCTAATGCTTAACAACTGCAACTCAGAAATTGTTCATAAAATCGCAAAATTTAATGAGGGTTGCATTATGTCAACCTAGAAAATAGATTAATTTTCTTGTGGAGCAACAGCAACAATGTTTACTAAGCTGTTCAAAAGAGAATTAAGAATAATCTTCAAAAAAGTAGTGAGAATACACTGCTACAGAAGATTGTGGGTAGCCAAATCAGTTGGAATGTATAGAAGGGAACTAGATAGAGAATGATGGGATTTGGAGAGAAAGTAGTTAAGATGAAGCTACCATGACTAACAACATGGCAGAGGAAGTTTAATTGACTCAAGTCTTTTCTCTTTATCTGCTTATAATATCACAAAATACCCAATCCAAAACTCCTAAATTCTGATTTCTATATATTTCACAAATTTAGATCCACTTTCAGTGACTTTGCTGCCAAATATGGCAAAGACTCCAGATTCAAAGCAATTGAAAAGATGAAAGATCGGGAAAGCATGTTTATCGAGTTTATTACCAGTGTGAGGAAACGAGAGAAGGAAGATTCGAAGAGTCGGACAGAGAAGGTAAGGTGGTTGTAGTTCCAGTGGAGTGAGTGGTGGGAGCGTGAATGTGAGGGACACCAGACTCTCCCAGTAGAAACCGTGCTAAACAAAATCTACCTTTTTTTAATTATTATTTGTGTATTTCAGTGTGCACTTTTATCTTTGGGTTTCCTGGCAGTAGTTTTATCTTTTGAGGGGAAGAAAATCCAATGTGTAAATCAATGTGTATCAAAAATAAAGGTCGTGTGTTAAAAATTAATGAGTTTTGAATGTTGTGTTGCTGTGGTGTCAAGTGCCCTGGGGGATGTGGTTTCCACTGGGATGCAGCTTGGTAGGGAGGAGGCATCAATAGCATTATGATAACAACGCACTGCAGCCTTCCCAGAAGTCCCTGTGTGCTGTGTGAATGTGATTCTTTCAACCTCTGAAGCCTAATCATTTGTGACATATATTCAACATTCTCCTGTTGCATCTGCTATTCATGTAAATTTTGTCCATAAATTTATATAAAGAATTAACAAATGAACGTTAACATTTTTTATATTCTTTTTTAGAAATCTTGACTGAAGCTGCTTATAATGATTATGCTTTTCAGAGGGTAATATGTTAAATGGTTTTGGAAATAGTAAAAATTGCCTAATTTAAATTTGACTACAGTACTACAGTAAAGATTTTTACTTGTAAATGTTTTTATTTGAAAATTGCATGTTTATTGATAAAATCTGTTTTCTTAAAAATTGTAACTTGTTGATCTTTTGCATTTTGATGTTTTCTAAAGCCATTTTGTAACCATTTTATGTATTCTGTTTTATAACGAGAATAGTCTTTACAGTTTTGTGCTGTGCGGCCTATCAATCAGTTCAGTCTGACAGCTGTCAATCACTGACAAGCAAAGTATTATGGGAATCCCTAGTGAGGAAAGAATTGGTGTTTCTCTGTGTGGTGACTTTAGCCTCCCGCAGCTCTGGTACTTTACATTTTTTTAGTTCTTTTCCTTGTGAAGTGAGAGTTGTGCCCAGAAATGTGTTAAGACAAAACAATCAAAAAAAAAAGATCTGGATAGAACCAGATCGTGTTCAGCCTTTATTCTATTGCTAACTCTTGTAAAGGTACTTTAACTTATGTTTCTATCTGTATTTAGTCTTGTTGTACTTTAACAAGTTACAATATGTAATAGTATCGCAGTATGTTGTGAAGCTTTCTCAGTCTTCTCCGGATCTTTGAATATTGGCATTAGATTATATTTCTTGAATTGTTAAAACAAAAATGCTTTGTTTAGTTTACATGTTGCTCTCCTTTGCCCCATCCAACAAAATCCCCTTCTGTGTTGCTCGCTTTGTCCCCAAAGAGCTGGCAAATTATAAGAGTTAGGTAAAACAACATTTTGTAGATCTCCCATTGCTTGATTGGAAGGAGTAGCAGAGAGTGTGGCTGCAGAAACCTTGTTCAGGTCACTAAATTCAGACCATTGTGGTGCCATAATTTTCTTTGCTGCCCTGGATTGAGGTGGGGGCTACAGAGCTGTGAAATCAAGAATGGTTTCCACTCTCAAATTATGAAGTCATAGATTGGTACAACACAGAGGCCATTCAGTCCTTCATGCCCATGCCAGTCCTCTGAAGAGTAACTTAGCTTATTCCATTCACCTGCCTTTTCCATGTAGCCCTGCATTTTATTTCTTTAGATAATCATCCAATTCCCTTTGGAAAGCCATGTTTGAAGCTGCCTTCTCCTCACTCTCCTGCAGTGCATTCCACATCCTAACCACTCATTCCATTTTAAAAAAAAAGAGTCAGTCACCACTTCATCTCTGGTTCTTCTGCCACTCCTTTAAGACACGGTCTTTCACGTTGCACCTTCCACCAATGGAAACAATATTTCCCTGTTTTCTCTGTCCTAACAGCCGCCAACACATCATCTCTCAAGCCTGTCATTTGAAGAACAGCCCAACATTGCCAGTCTATCCATGTAATTGAAGTCCCTCATCCGCAACACCGTTTTCATCATTCTTTTTAAGGATGTCAGAAGTAAGAGCTGGTCCAGACCATTCAGCCCCTGAAGCAGTTCGCCCATTCCATTCAAAACAATCATGGCTGATCATTTATCCATTTATTTGCACATTATCCATATCCATTGATACCATGAGAAAGTTATCATTCCTGATCTTAGTTATGTTCGTTCATTAATGCAGCATTCACAATCTTCTAGGTAGATAATTCCAAAGTTTTACAATTCCAAGCGATGAATAAGACCCTCCCATTTGGTCCTAAATGGTGGTTGTTTTATCCTGAGACTATGATCTTGGGCTTTACATGTCCTAGCCAGCAAAAACAAACTCTCAAACCTCTTTTTGAGTTGCATATTTCAAGAAGATTACCCTCTTATTCCTGTAAACTCCAGAGAATACTGGGCCCACTTTTCTCACGTGTCATCATAGGACAACCCTCATTCCAGAAATCAATCGAATGAGCCTTTGCTGAAACTGCCTTCAAAGCAGTTATATTCTTCCTTAGATACAAAAGTCAAAACTGCACACAGTTTTCCAGTTAAAAACAAAACATTGCCAGTGCTAGAGATCTTAAATGCATTGTGCTGTAGAGATTCTATAAGCCTGGCAACATCTACGGAGAGAGAACCTGTGTTCACATTTTCAGTCCAATGACTGGAGTGCCAAAGAGAATTCATTGGAGTCAAAACATTAGTACTGTTTATCTCTCCACAAATGCTGAAAGATCCTGTCCAGCACTTTGTATTTATCAGTTTTTCAGATGTGTGGTTTCACCCAAGCCCCATACAATTTTAAGAAGACTTCCTTATTCTTGTACTCCAATCCCCTTGTAATAAAGGCCACACGTCTTTTGCTGCCTTAATTATGTTATGAACATGCTAATGTATTCTCGGTACCAGTGCACCCAAATTTCTCTGAGTATGAACATTTGACAATTTAATTCCATTTTAAAAATTTTACATTTTTATTGACCAAAGTGAATAATCTCTCATTTCCCGCATTGTACTCCATCTGCCACCTTGTTGCCGACCCACGTAATCTCTCTATAACTCTTTTGCAACTTCATGCCTTCCTGACAGCCCACAATCCCAACTAAGTCTGTATCATCAGCAACCTTAGATTCGTTAACTCTCCTGATTGCTACTCAGCACCCTCTGCTGGAAGTGTGGATATTGAGCTCTGCTCAGCTATTATATTCCCATGTGGCAATATGGGCCATAGAGGCCTTCCCATACAGAATGACCACCTCAATCAGATACACAATGTCCATGAAATTGGACCCCAAAAAGTGTGTGGAGCTGGAGGAACACAGCAGGCCAGGCAGCATCAGTGGAGCAGGAAAGTCGACGTT